CATCCACCAGACGGCTTTCCTAAATACTATAACTTTAGAATTAATAAACAATAGGTGTTTACTAAATTATTATTAGCTACAATCATGGATTAAAACCACAAACACGTCCTAAACCTCTGTCCGGACGAACCTGAACTTCCAGTGCTTGTCCATGGATCGGATGGATAGTTTACGGAACATTGGCTTTAAATACAAGTGTTAATGTGGTCAGAAAGTTTGCGAATTCTTCTATTGGTAAACAGATTACATATGAACAAGCCTCAGGGAACGATATAAACATCTCACCCTCAGGTTGTGCACTTTCTATCTTGTAGCATTCCTCTGAACAAGAGGCATTACAGACGAAATAGCTATTTTGAAGCTCCGTGACTGTAAACCCAGTAACGGACTAGAGTAATTAATGCTGTTTCTGCTGGATTTGTTTAGAAATAAATGGCAACAGCAATCTGAAACATACTTTTTCCCATTCGATTGTCAACGAATCTTATCATGGGTTTCCAATCTGTGATGACTTTTTTATGGAAAAATCGCAAAAGTTGCAATAACTTTTGAACCGTAATACAGCAGTTAGGGTTGTAAGATTTTGTTCAGAGTTTCAGGACGTACAATAACTCTTTGTTTAACAAAACCGGTGGAGCCGTTTTTTAAAATTTCCTATTAGTTTATGGGTTTTTATGGAAAAAATCACAAGTTGTGCGCAATAACTTTTGAGCCGTTATTTTTACAGCAATGGGATTTGTACAATTTTGTTAAGATTTAAAAAGTCTATAACATAGTCAATTGTAATGAACATCGTTCCAGCCATTTTGTTGAAAATCAGAATTTTCGGTTATTTTATGATAGGCTACCAAGTTTAATCAAGATCGGACCACAGGCGTGGTCTGTACACATCCACACATACAGACACGCACTTAAACATCACTTTGAAAACCACTTGAGTTCAGGGGGTCCCAAAACGGATGTTTCCAGCAAAAACTCAAACTCCAAATTTTTTACGAAAACAATATTTTCTCCATATACTATGGTAGGCCTATAGAGGGAGAAAGTTAAAACTAAAGACGGTCCACACTATCGATCTTTTCCCCGAACAAGACCCCGAACCGAGCAGGGAGAAGGGAGAAGGGAGGTCGAAGGGAGCATGTTCGAATCGATAGTGTGTCACGGCATTGACTATACACCTCTACTTATAGAGGTGTATAGTCAATGGTCACGGGTCCGTACCCCGATTCAAACGGCGAACCAGACATCAGGCCGAGCAGGGAGACAAGCGCTCTGGAGGCGGTTTTTTGGCGAAAGATCAAAGAAAAGATCGGTCCGATGTACGGAGTGATGTACGATAGTGTGACACGGTATATTTTTGCCCCGTACATCGTCGCGAGCGCCGCACCGAGCGGCCGCCTGCGCTAGCGTTGATAGTTCTAATTTAATATGGCAATTAAACTCTTCAATTGCTAAAATAAATAAATGTTGGGTAATATTTTGCCGTTATATATTATGGACATTTATGTTGTGTGTTTGGTCAAGGTTGAAAATGTATTTTACAAGTTGAAACCGTTAAATCAATGATACCAATGATGTTTAACTTGAATTAAGTAATTGATGTTATACTTTAATTCTTTCAAAATTAATATAAACATAAAAATTGTTAAAGGCAATCAAAACTATCATTCTGTAACATGTTATTTCATATTTTATTACTGACTCACACACGCTCTCCATTTCTCTCTAAACTCCCTTTTATCGCGCTCGGTAGAACTTATCTGGTCTTGGTCTTGTTCGGGGAAATGTCCGGATTGAAAATTTGCAGATTTTCACCTCCCTTCTCACTTCTCGGTTCGGGGTCTTGTTCGGGGAAAAGATCGATAGTGTGTCACCGCCTTAAATGTTAGCGAGAAGAGGTAAAAAAATGAAATAATATTTTTATTATTTCAGAATGTTCACTTTTGGACCTTCAGAAGTTCAACTTCAAAAATGTTCTTCGGGTCGACTCCATACACACATTTCTGGGGCGAATTTTAAAAAAAAACGTCGTAAAATAATTTAAAATCCATTATCAAAAGTTAATTGTCTATTGTGGCGTTATCTCAAAACGTGCGCTGATTTCAAATCACCATAAACAATGCTGTCCTAATTACACGAGTATTAAATTTACACAATTACACTAACAACGTTGTAATTACTGAGTGATTGTTGGTGATATTACAGCGTTGACAGTTTGTACTACGTACGATGTCGCCATTTATGTAGATGAGATTCCTATTGTTTACAAATATCCGACCTCGCTCGCTGTTTCGACAGTCCGCCGATAATTGAATATAGAAAAACCAAATCTTAAGTGCCACTATATACACATGCAATAACTGCACCTTTCCCAATTAATAAGCAGTCTTTCGAAGTACCATGACAAACATCAACTGCCTCGCCAATGATAATATTATTTATTCTCGATCTCTATTTAGACTAGATACACGCTATAGACTATTGACAAGGTTTACTTTAATTCCCAGCAAAAAGTATCAAGAAAAATTAGAATATCATCCGAAAAGTCTTGCTGTTAATCTGCTGGACAATAGTCAGTGCATTGCCAGATTAAAAAGTGTTGTACATGTGCTGGACCTAAGCTACAGATTTCTGTAAATATTTAAATGATTGATTCAATTTTTGGCAAGATTGTTGATGAACAGGTGCTTGCTTCCTGCCATTTTTTATGTTAGGCTACCTATTTTACTTATTGTTCTCATATTCGTTTGAACAGATTGTAAAATAAATTCTGATAAAAAAAATGTATAACAGCAAAAACTATTTATATTTTAGTACACAAGATTCGATAATGATGAATTAAATTCAAAACGTCTTCTTTACTGACCTTAGATTGTGTAAGAAATGTCTTTGAAGTTAAATATTGACTGTTTTATCAGTATTTTATTTATCAGTGTTGTTCCAGACAATGATTTGAAACAATAAAGTCAAGTTAAGAATTTTAATTTAATTTCAGTGTCCACCATATGAAAAGTAAAATCAAATAAATAAATTTAAGTAAATATACTCCGTTCACAAAATATAAGCGGTTGTAGGGAAATAAATCTATCCCCTCCACGTGAACCTGCCTCTTTGAAATAAGCTCAACAGCTGAGGTTTGCCAAAAGACCAATCAGCTGTGCTATATTTATTAAGGAAAAAAGTAGTGGCTGAACTTCCCCTCAAACCGCCTAAATTTTGTAAACGGAGTATAATAGGAGTCGACTGTTTTTAAACTTGGATGAATTAAGTTAACCATAAATAATAATGATTGAGCGATAATTAAAACACATTCTAACTACGAGTTGTCTGTAAATAAAGGTCTCCATCAGCTGTTGCCAGGGTTGCCACCCGTCCCGATTCTGCCGGGACAGTCCCGATTTTAGTTCCTTATGCCCGTATTTAAGCCTATATTAATCCGGGAGGGAGGGGGGCAATGTCCTGATTTTTTCCTGACCTAAGGTGGCAACCCTGGCTGTCGCAGCCAAGCAAAATAATTCAAATTTGAAAAAAAACATTGTGTTCCTTCATCCACCGCTTTTCCAGCTATGAGACAACTACAGTTCTCGAGTCGTGTCACAGTTTTCAAAGACATGAAAGAAATGTTGTGTTCCCGCCAAGTGTGAATATAGGAAGGGGATCTTCCCTGTTGGTTACTGTTGTCAGTTGAAAGATGTGAATGCAGTGTTTCGTGGTAGAAAATGTGCAAGTGGGTTTGAGTTTGCAGAAGCCTGTAGGCTACTTGATTCCACATTGGGTCCGGCAGTAATTCATCATTTTTCATCAAAACAGTGAATATATTTAAGAAAGATTTCCTATTCAGCTTCGTTTTACAGAATCCCAAGGCTTGTCGTAGCCCTTGATGGTCTTGAAGAGACGCCCCAACCTCTCTCGTCTATTCACAACGCGATTAGCATGGTTACTGCCTCAAAAGAGATTGATAGATGATAGCAGCTACCGACACTATGGAAAACCTCAACGCTTAAGACTACATCAAAAATCCACTTTTGCACATACCGTCCACTTTAACTTACTCCGTTTTCATCCTTTAGGCGATGGACTCACAGCGTTTAGCGACAGAGACTGCAGAAATGTAATCACAGATCGTGAGTTTATTTGGCTTGAGGGTCAATTTTCTTTCACATCGTTTTCAAATACTATGACGAGACTTTACTACTATCACTACATAATTCACATGGCCAAGCCAGAGGTGATAAGAGCAGGTGGCCAACTTTGAATCAGTAATGCCTGATTAGTGAGCACAAAACACTAACTCTGAGCTACAGGAAAATACCTTATGCCAGTAGCAAATTACATTTGAGAAGCAGTAAGTAGGTAGGCTACAAATTACCTGTTTTTTTGGTGTACCTTTTATATCTGACTCAATCGGATTAAACCATTAAAAGTAGGCTACCAATTCAATCAATAACCAAACTCAAACTAAGTTAACAAAAACATATTTTATATATTGGCTGTACCATAACAATCAATAATCGTGTAGTTGGATAAAGTTTTGACGATTAACTCAATGTAGCCTACCCGTTTTTCCTTATTTCGTCTTTAACTTAATTTACTTTTTGAAAAGTCAGCCTAGGCCTATTAATAATTATAGGCCCACATCTGTTTAGCTAGAAACCAGTCATATCCCTAACGGTAATCAGTATGAACTTAATGGCAGGCTAACTATATTATGATTCCAAGAATGTTTCTCTTTAAATAGGCCTATAATGTCAATGTGTGGTGTCTGGTATCTATTTGGAATTGGAACTGAGTCCCAACGCCGGCACTCCCCCACAACCACACCCATAAACTGAAAACTGGGGTTAGGGGCTTTATAATAATAGTGGACGTAAGTCACCCAGAACATGAATAAACAATGCAGCTTTAAACTTGTGTTTCGAATTACAGAGACTATAACTAAAACAATTTGTAGCTTTCCAGACTAATCTTTGGTAATCCAAACATAACCTACATAAACGTACCTGAGGTCTCTGGGGAGAGTCTTCACAATCATATACAAAAATCGGTAACGTCTTTCTGTGAAGAAAAACCAAAAAAGGAAGAACATGACAAACTGCTTCCATCTTTCGAAAAACAGCGAAACACAAATTAGAAACACACTGAAAATGAAACCAAACGTGGAAAAGGTTGAGGTCATTCCCTTTTCCCCAGCCATTTTCGTCGTCTGCGGAGTGCGAAACCGAACCGACGCCGACACTGCCTTCGCCCGCCTTGACAAAATGACAAATGGATTATGTTATGACAACTACAACTAAGAACAGATGGTGACGAACGAACTGCTCACTCTCTCTCTACTCTAGTCTCTCTCAGTGCTCTGCTTTTGCTCAACGCTTGTCTTTTTTTTAGATCTCGCATTTCACCCTCTATAGCAGTGTAGCCAACATTGAGGCTCCTAAATAGCCTCTGCTTTACCACGCTTAGTTCATTGAGTATGTATAACCATAGTCAATGGTATAACTAATTGTTGTGTGCTATTATATTTTAGTTTTTACATTCATGCGTCCTCGGTCCTCGTGAATTTCATGAACTATAATACTTCAAATTCAGTAGAGGACAAAATATACGTTTTGATTTTGTTCGATGGGTTTATGCTTACCGTTTATTTCTTGTTATTTCACTACTTTAAAACTATTGCATTCAAATAAAACAATTTATTTATGAATAATGACTTGCGTCAATAGTCAAGACAGGCGTAGAAAAAAATACTATACATTATTACATTCCTAGGACATTTTAAAACTGTGACGTGCCCACGACAAGCTGTAGAGATATTATTACCTCTGTGAAGTGTCTTGACATAAATTTTCTTATTGATAAACGCTGGACAGTATTTTTGGTGTTGTTTAAACATTCTACTTTTTCACCACCATAGCAGATTGCAATGCAACATTAGCGTTCCGTTTCAGTCGGTAATGCAGTTTGCATTTCGTCTTTAAGTTGCGAATCTCCTCACTTGGGGCAGCAGCAGCACTCCTACTGCCCTCTGTTTTCCTCTGTTTTCACCCAGGGCTACAGTTTCACCACTGTCACGTCGGCAATGCAGTTTATTTATTATCTTTGACGATAACCATAGACTAATCTCAACCCAAGATGTATACATCTTGATCTCAACCTATCAAACGGTTTCTGTTGTGTTTGTTATAATATGTTACGGTATAATCCATCATGAGTTGTACTGATTTGATTTGTATGGTTGTAAAAATGGAGATGCCCGTTTAAAATAAATAAATAGAGTAGACTGAGTAGAGAATACCTTAGACCCCATTAAAAACATTTTCTGATATGAAAGTTACTGTGCTATCCATTAGGTTTGAAGTTCCTTAAAAGTAAATTATTTTAGCCTCAAATATCAGTGAATCGTATTATAAGTATTATATATATTTTTATAAGTATTTAGTATTCTATGATATTATTTTGATAGTCACTTATCGGTATAATGATCAAATTAAGATTTAAAATAATTGACATTTCTACCAGAACTCCTTTTTCGGGGGAAAACGAAAATATGTACCAGTTAGAGTTCGCAATTTATATTCCTCAATCATTAGTCAACTCAGCAAAAGATCAACTTTATGTGAACTACAAACTAGGAAAATAACCTTGGGTTTTATGGTCAATTAATCAATAAATACTACTAATTCACTAGCTATTACCACAGACTAAAGACCATTTATTGGTTCTATAATCTGTGCTAATACGTAACCTATTATAAACGTATCCTCCAACTAGGTAAATGATAAGTATAAGTTAGTTAATTTATATAAGTAAATTGTGTCTGCCTAAAATAACAGTTATAACTCTATACATTAGGTGATAATAAATTGGTTTGAGTATATTTTTAGTATTCCTATTATATTTTAATTTCCCTACAACTTATGTAACACATTGGAAACTTATACGGGTGTAAGTATGAGGGATGCAGCTTGGGGGGGGCGGTTGATAAAGGGGGGTGGCGATCGATGATGACGTCACCAACCACTTCTCACTTGTTGATCCCTAACCCTCAATCTCGCAAGCTGGGTTGCTGGGTTTTTGAATTTTGTGGCAGGAATTAAGTCAAGTTTACAGGTTAACATTTCTGAGCATTGCAATAGTAATTCTTTTGAGGCAGCATATCTTCTGGTACAATATAAAAGAATCAGTAAGGCCAATGTTCAGAACAACGCAAGTAACCTACACACCATAGGAATAGAGACACAATAGGAAATGGCACAATTTGATGAGTTACAATACCCCGTGAAATTATATTTTTTTAAAGCAAAGATGTTTTATGAAGCTACAGATGTTGATTCTAAAAACTTTGTAACGATACAAATCAACAACCAATTAACCAATATAAATTTGATTGGTAAAATAATAAATATCGTTTGTGCAAAATTATCGCGTTTATTGGAATTTGTTTTAAATAACGGAAATAATATTATTCTATGTTCAAATTAGTCTACCATTAGTAATTAGTCTCGAAACACTCGAGTTTTGGTCACTTTAGTTCGTGTTCATAATTTAAAAAATTTATAACCCTAACCATATTGGATTTTTTAACGACTTTCGACAAACTTAACTCTCACATAAGTGATTTTTTTCAAATCCTCAAAGAACACTTAATATAATACTAAAACTTAATATAGTACTTACTTAGTAGTATTAGTACTTAATATAGTACCTAAACTGCCCAAATAAGGAATTATGTAAAAACCTGTACAATTCTTTCCGAAGAAAAGAAGAACAAACGAAACGGAATCACCGATTAGTGGAAATCGCCATAAATCTAGTAGGTGGGGAAGTTCGATCGGTTTAGGCATTTGCGATAACATTGTAATGATTCAACATCACGCATGTATCGGCGATAGTGTACGAAAAGCAAAGAAGGCGAAACCACGCCGGGAAAATTCCCCGCGAGATTTCCCCCGTCGACAGAAACTTATATGTACCGTGTTCAGCAGCGCTTGCAAATTTAAGTTTAGTTCGTGTTTTTAAACAGTTGTGACTTACGAGTGTAGTTTATACTAGTTGTTTGTTGTAATAATTGTTTGAAAATTCCAATTGTTGAAACCCTAGGTTTTGGGTTTGACATTGATATTAACGTACTGTACGAATACACTGTGCTCCTCCAATACTTTTCCTCAACGGAGCTGAAAAAAATGGTTTCAATTCAACAGAATTCATAACACCTATAAATAATTATATAAATATTAAGTTATATCAGTGTGATGAGTTAGAAACCATCTTTACCGATAACTTTGGTTTTCAAAAATAAAATTATAGGTTCTTTTCCATTAATTCACTACCACTACTTTCTTTAATGCAATTCCGATTTTTTTAACAGTTAGCATACTATAGTCTATGAATATAGGCCTATCAATTATAAAATAGAATTATTCTAAACCAACCTAACTGCTGATTACGAAAAAATTCCAGTAGTGAATAAACGGAATTGCAATAAATAATGTAGTGGTAGTGAAGTAACGGAATAGGGCAACATTTTACTTTACTTTGTTTTTGTAATTTTTTCGACTTTAAACAAAACTGAAATAATTTATCTAAGAAGTTGTGTCAAATATAATATAACGACTTATAACGACGGTAGAAGTTTGAGTTAAAAAGTTTTTAAATCGAAGACATTTGTGAACAAATAAAAAATCCTTACAAATCGAACTATTGTCATAAAATAAATAAACACAAATAACATATGATAATATGACTGGCGTAAAAAGATATCTAAACAAAGTTGGAAACAAAATTTAAGTAACGTTTCTGAGATAATAGCATAGAATTGAACTAAATTCATATGCAAACTAATTTAAAGAAATAAATGGTTCCTGTTTGTTTTTAATTTTCATAAACATTCTTTAAACTATCATTAAAGATAATTTATTGAATACAACTATTATCGTGTCTTACCATTTTCTTGAATATATTCGTATCATCGACTGTAATAACTATCTGATAGTACAAGTGTAGAGGGAATGATAAGAGAGCAAGGAATTTCGGCGTAGGAGGTAAATTTAGTTTTCGTGTTGTGGTAGCAAGCAGCGGGCGGCAAGCCGGAGTTGGGTGCCGGCTGTCGTTCAGGACTCAAGAGGATCGTCTACAACAACAATAATTTGTGAGTAAAATTTTACGTAACCTAGCTTTTTTCTGTTTGTTTACTTTAAATAAATGTACAACTCGTAAGTCATAACTTTTAAAAATTACTGTTTACTTTCTGGAATGGTGTATAACTTTAAAATGTAACCTTTGTTACCCAAAATTGCCCAAAAATACAGAAGTGAGTTAGGAATTGTTTTGGAATCTGTTACGCAACTAGGACTCTGTAGTCTGTAATATGTGTTTGTTGCTAAAACACATCTTATAGGCTAGTCTTGGTATTAACTTTTTGATAACTGAGATAACAGCATTATAAGTTACAACAGCTGATTTCTGTATCTATAACATATTGATCCCATTGATCCATCGTGCCATAGATAAGTGTCTCATCTTATATTGTACAAAAATACACCTTTTGCCAATGCACGGTGCCGGAGAATTAGTTAATTTAAAACCATTAGTATCGATAGTGGTTATCCTAATTGCCGGAGTATTAATTAATTATGTAAACATATTTTTTTAATCAAATGTGGATAATTAATTCTGTATACAATTCATGTATATGGAAAAATAATGTATACGCCCCTCTCTCCGTATCAGTCAACCTTTACATTCAAAAAACGTGATAACCAATTGGCGTAGAATAAAAATTTAACACATTTTCTGTTTAAATTTATCTGAAAAATGGGTAGTTTGAGTAAAAAATTGTTTCCGTATGGAAGCCGTTAAACCCCCTCCCCCTTCCCCTCATTCAGAGAGAGAGCTGTGGGGTTTTGAATTGCATAAATATAATATTAAGTTAGTATGCATATTATGTTAGTTTACACGTTTAATGTGGTATAGTTCTATTTAAACTAAATTATAGATCTTTAACAAGGTATGTTTGAAAGAACTGTGCATCTGGGCATCTTTAAAAGAAAAGAAACATATGACGATTAATTTACAACCATGGATGAAGTAATACACGAAACATGAACTCCCATATTAGTAATATAAATCTATTCCCTAGTCTTACTGCGATGAGTCAAAGTGGTAGTGCATCAATGATCAATTGCGCCAAGGAGTTCCTTAATTTCGCCAAGCCCTCAAAAGGTCCCAAAAAATGTTCCTTTGTTGCGCCAAACCATTGACTAAGGAAATAAAAGTTTGTTTTATAATAAAATAAAACTTTGTTTCCCTTGTCTGTGGCCAAACCCAAGTCAGGTTGGCCGGTTGGGTGAGTTGCCGGCAGAAGGAATGTCATTGTTTACGTGTCATCCTAACCTAACTTAACATCCTAACTGAACCAACCTAACCTAAGCTACTCAATTATACAGTCAAGGGCCGTCACTTGGCGCAGTTAATGAACGTATCGGGTGGCTGTGGCTCCCTGGAGTAGTTGGCGCAATTCAGGAATACCTTATAACCTGACTCAGGTCATTTGGCGCAATTAATGCCCTCCCGTCAAAGTTACTTCCCATATCGAACGCGATTCATCCGGAGATTCTATTTGATATAGGAGGATAACAAGATGAAGAAAAAAATGAATGGATGATCATTCCTAAGTCACTGTAAATGTTATGAGTTGTATGTTGCAATCTGTTGCAATTAACGCAATTCGTAAAACACCATTTCCCATACTTGTTTGGAACTCTTAACCCATCTTTTCTCTTTATGCTAATTGATTCTTAAATCTACCACACGGTATATGTATATATACATTGTTTTAAAATCTAGTCAACCTAATGTTTTTGGCTTTAGCGTTTGAATACCAGCGAGTGTCTAAAAGGGCAAGTAGTCAATGTATTGGCTTTTTCACAAGTCCACTAATGTGTTTGTGTTTGTGGCAGACACAAACGTTGCACCCAGTCGAATGTTTTGCGGAAGAATTCTTACCATGTTAAACCTGATTTTGGATCCAGCCCATAATGCAACCCTACGGTATACAAAATGTTGCTTAGGCAATTGATTTACAATTTTAAGTGGTTCCAAATGTCAAATAACAATGTTTTAATTAAAACACTGATATTAAATGAGTTATACTGTATCGATTGAAAATTGTTATTAGACTACATATTTTAAATTTTAATACATTTCTGCTAGCATCTTCCTTTCATATTTTCCTTAAGTTTAATGACCTTTATGAGATTTGTCGCAAAATTGTTAAGCCCGTGTTAGTTGAAAACTTTTATTAAGTACCGTGTTACAATTGTTGACGAAAACATTATTGCACAATGGATTCATTTTTGTTGACAGCGTTGTTACTGAAGCACTTTTGTTATTGTTATTGTACCGAATGACGTTTGAATTGTTGTGCCCAAATTATCAAGGACTGCTGGGTAAAATTTCGATTCGAACCGTTATAAGATTTGGTTTATTATCAGTTTCGAACCGGCAACCTACTGATAAACATCCCATTGCCAATTTTCAATGATTTCTAGTAGGTCGATGATAGTAACAAGGGAAGGTTTTTGACAGTTCCCATAGAAAAAAAGCTAAAAATACCATTAGCGTGTGTATGGCAGGGCTACAGATATACATGCCTATATGTACTCAAAAGATAATGTAACTTTAGATAGTTTAGTAAAACTAATTTTATGTCTAATATTCAGGACTTAAAAATAGTGACATAATACAAACACATCCTTATCATAACCAAACGTTTCTCAAAAATCTAAAATGACGCGTTTTTTGAAAAATCTCTAAAATACCTAAAAGCAAGGTACGAACAAAGACACCGATTCCTGCACCAACATCCACTTCCACATGATGACGCAACAATAATTACAATATTACAATGCGTGACGAAGTGTCGTTTTGAAGACAATTTAGCCGTAAATTCTCGTATCTGTACGATAAACACGTTTACGACAAGGGTGATGAAATTGACTCGGCGTCGTGTTGGGGGAAGGGGGGGAGGCGCCGTGACGCTAGACAGACTGTCATGTAGCTTAGTGAGCGAAGCATGGGCGTTGGTCATATTACTAGGCTACATGCTACATGGAAATAAAATAATAGGAAAATCGTTACGGGATATCCAGTATGAGATATAACTGGTCGGGGAATCAAGTTGATACTGGTAATTGTTGTATATTTGAGAATTATAAGGTGCTTAGATCTTTTAAAACTACTCGTTTGTTGAACACATTTTCTAAGATTTGAATTGCTGTAACAACACCTGCACGATATGTTTTAGCATTGAATTAATAAAAAAAACCCTGTATATACTGTATTATGTTACCTTAAATATTTATCTTCGTGGTTAGGTTCGTTCGGTTAAAAGGTGTTCAGTTATTTCCTATTGATTATTGTAATAATTTTACTATTTTAATTACCCCCGCTGCAGCAAACCTGCCGACTAAGCGAATTTCCATTTGCCTGGATTGGTTTTCAATTAATCTGTTAAATTAACATTTATGTTTAACGAGTACCCAGGTTAGCTGCTACTGTACAGGGAAACTAATAAAGTGTGTTTTTTTTTTATTAAAATATCAATAGCTTAGTATGGAATAAATAAATCCGCCAAGTTTGATCAAAATATATCCATAAACAAGCCAACTACAACATTTTACAATATTAAATATTACAATATTAAATTATGTTGATTTTTGGGCCAAAACGTCATTTGCTTATGTTGATGATGCATACCGTGTCTGTTTAAGTATTCGTGTACGAACATCAGTATTTTTTTTTGCCACAAATTATTATTGAGCTCGCATTCACTTCTGAAAGTTGATGGTTCGATTTTGAGTTATTGATTCCAAGATTGAACACTTATGAACTGAGTAACCTTTTACGCATAAAATTATTTATTAATATACTTACTGGCCAGGTTTCGACATGGCATTTTCAAAACAAACAAAAATTAAAATTAAAATATGTAAATCTATATATCTAATTCCGTAAGCCCAAAATTTTACAATGAAATTGTGAGCGAACCGGAGGGCGTAGAAAGCTGGGAGGGGTCTCATTTTAAAGGTCTGGGCATGAAATTTTGGGGAAAATTATTCATTTTTCTTAATTATGCACCAAAAGGTTGTGACAGAATAAAATAATTCACATTTAAATAACATGGGAATCTAGGTCATGTTTGCTTTGTTTACATTAAAACATGTGGTTTAACTTTATTTAAAGCATATGGTAATATGTCTATATATCTAATTCCGTAAGCCCAAAATTTTACAATGAAATTGTGAGCGAACCGGAGGGCGTAGAAAGCTGGGAGGGGTCTCATTTTAAAGGTCTGGGCATGAAATTTTGGGGAAAATTATTCATTTTTCTTAATTATGCACCAAAAGGTTGTGACAGAATAAAATAATTCACATTTAAATAACATGGGAATCTAGGTCATGTTTGCTTTGTTTACATTAAAACATGTGGTTTAACTTTATTTAAAGCATATGGTAATATGTAATATGCACTGTAATATGTATACTAACCCGAGAGGTTGAACCTACCAATTGACTATATTAATTTAATTGCACGATCTGGAATGCCACCACACAAATTAGTTTTAAAAGTTGGTTCAATAGTGATGCTCATTAGAAATATGAAGCTAGGGTCTGGATTAGTTAATGGAGTACGATTGGTTGTGTTAGGTATTACTGGAAAAAGTGTAAAGTTAGTAGTAATTACTGGAGTAGGCAAAGGAAACGTATTTTCCATGCCAAAAATAATACTAATATCCACAGATCCTAATATGCCGTTTAAGTTTACAAGGAAAATTTTCACAAAAATTGGCATTTATTTGAAAAATTTATCTCCATGTATTTTATCTAAGTGAATTTGTCTATATTCAAAGAAATGTATATACATTTAATTAATAGTCATGAAGATTATCATTGAAAATTATCCTTAGTTGTATTATGATTAGAAAGTTTATACTATAAACACACCGCATGAAAAATCCTTTGTAATTTTTATTTTTAACAGAGCAGACCTCAAAATGCATTATGCAGGTATGTAATAACTATTATACATATTATAATATACAATAATGTTAAACGATAATCAAGGTAGGGTAACCCATGGGACTAATAA